AAATGTAATGTATTATATGGTAGAAAGTTATGATCCTTATAAAAGACGGCATTTTAAGATTTTATGATGAGATGAATTAAATAAGGTTTGATACTTCTAAATATTTGAAAATTTGATTCTGCAAGCAATTTTGAAAATAATAAATAATATATTGTGCCGCAATATTTTCATAGGAATTGTAAAATGAAAATATAGACTCCACACACGGATTGAATTTGGTATTATTATATATCAAATATATGTACATAACATATAACATATTTGATTATGTGAATAATTAGTAAATTCTGTATTAGCTCAAACAAATCTCTATTTCAACAACCAATGATCCAGAATTTGGAAAAATAATTTCTTAAATTAATTCAAAATAATAACTAATTTTCTTAAGTAATTCAAAATAATCTACGTTTTAGATGCGATTCGTTTATGATATTTTGATTTTTGATCTAACTAAATTATATACACTCTCATTTTGTGGTTGTTAACATAAATTAACTCATTGTTCAAACATTATTAAACTTTTTTAAAAATAATCTTATTTTCCGTTTTCATATCTTAAAAAAAATCCATAATTGAATACTATAGAAAAATATATATATATATATATTCATTCTAATATTATGTATATTTTACTTACTATTATAATATATCACAACTTTATTCTAAAACATAAAATTTATAAATTTTGTAATAAATGAAATTCAACCCGTATTGTAGTACGGATGATGATCTAGTATATTTATATATATGTAATGTTTAAGTATTGAAACATGAGTGGACCTAGCACCTAGGTGGGTGATATTGGATCCTATGACGCCGATTAAACATTTTAATATTTTAATTGTATGTAACGTAAGTTATACTATATATGTATATACTGAAAAGAACTGTAATAGCATAAATGGTAAATTTTGGCCAATTGACCCACTATAACCATGTTCGATACTCACATTTTACTCAATGCCAAATTTTTGAATAATAATAGTTCCTTATATATGAATCCAGTGATAACAAATTTTGGGGTCTGTACTGATGGAAACCGTATTATCATATTCTACCCCAAAAAAAAAAAAATGTAAATTAATCAGGCAACAAGCTTTGAACTACAAAATTTCAAAAAATACGTATCCAATAACATTTATAACTAGATAGCAAACTTAAGGAATGTTTTACCCCATGTACGATTCTATGATACAGGATTTTATGCACACAAGGAAGTCATTTCCTAGTAGTACAATTTATAAGTATATTACGTGGAAGTGATGAGAGTGAGCAAAGCATATAAGTGTAGTTGAAGCATCCAAGTTTACAAAGGGTCCATTAACCAAAAAAGAAAAGCAAACCAAACACGGTTAGCTAAAAAGAAAATTGTACTTTAGGAAAGAAGTGGGTGATTCTAGTGGGTCGCATGCACCAAACTCATTTCGTTTTACAATATGTTTTATTTAAAATTCGTATAGTCATATTAGAGACTAAAGAGATCGTGTTGAACTAGAGCTATATAGTTATTTGCATGTAATTTTTTAGTTAACATCGAGTATCTAGATATTTTCTTATGGGTAGCCAAGAACCTTTGGGTTTACACCAATAACTTCTTCAACATGCATGGGAGTTTGAACATGTAATTAAACTATTTCCCTTAGCCGGTAATTGGACTCGGGATCTTCAAAACTCTTCTTTTGAGTGAAATATCATAAAAAAATGGCATTCTTAATTAGGTCGTCTAATTATGGGTTAATTAGTAAATGACATGTGTTCAAACTTTGTTGATTTTCAAATCTAATGAAAATTAAAATCATTTGATTTTAATATCTTTGAAAATTATGTAGCTAATGACTCTTCAGTTCTCTTAGTTTTGAAAAAATTGACGACACCGCTAGTTCTTTAGAAAAAAAAAATCAACGGTGTGCGAGCTTACAACCGCTCCTATTTATGGTGACGAAATTGTTTTGGTTTAGCGTCGTTGAAGCCAGCATTAGCCTTAGTTTCTCCACATCTGTAGGTCTTAAGCAACTTTTATTTATAGCATTTTTTGTCGTATTCTTTTGTCGCTAGCATCTTTCGAAATTATAATTGATTTTCTTTATAATGATTGGTTCAAAATATTAAAAAAATCTATACATAGATTGCAACTGAAATTTCAAATCTATCACCAAAAATTAAACATCGATTTCTTTAAGAAATTTCGACAAGTTTAAAAGTGTCGGCCATTTGAATGTGGAAGATGAAAAGGAGTTAAAAAGGAGAAGAGTCGATTAAAAAGGAGAGTGACAACTTTCCAACCCCAAATTGTTTGCTTGCTTTCTTCCAACTCTATTTGTCCGTTTCCTATATCTCCCTTGGAATCTGTGTGTGTCTAATGTCTCTTGCTGCTTCCTTTACTCTCATCAAATCTATAATCTCTTCGATCTACTTCAAATTAATCACATATTATTATCTTAAAGAAATTGAGGATATGTGATTTTCTTAAAATATACGTGTTGATTAAGCAATAACTATATATAATGGGACTACGCATTTGATAATCAAAGTTTAAGAGTTTATTTACTTTGCAAAATAACTAAAACTAACTGAAACTTTAAATATTTTTTTGTAACAAGTATAACATAACGAAGGCGGTCTTCGACTTTGGTTTGGATCAAGACAAGCTCAAGACTAAACTCTTTATGCTATTAGCAATTTTATGAAAAGTATGTATTAAGTCGTAAAACATGTTTTCTTTCTATTTTTTGAATAACATCTATTCAAAAAAAAAAAAACAAGTATAACATATGTTTTATTAGATGTCACGATATTCTGTCTATCGAATAACACACTACTCCACATATTACTGTCACGATAGATATATGAGTGTTATTTTACACGATGACACATTATTTTAATTCATGATGTATGTTATTTGACTTATCAAAAAAAAATGTATGTTATTTGATAAAAAAAATCAATATTAATTTATGTGCGAGAATGAATGACATTTTCATCAAACCGGACAACAAATGATTTTCATCAAACCGAAGATCTAATTTGCTGTCTTTTTAATAAATAAACTAGGATCAAACCCGCGGTCCACCGCGGAAGAATATTGGTTTACATATGTTGCGTTTAATATTGTGTGTGTTTTTTAGTAGAACGAATCGTGTAGTATACTTATAAATATTCATAATAACGAATTGTAGAGAAAATGTAAAATTGTTTATAAATATACCCATCGTAATAATTATGATTTACAAAATAGAATTTTGTGTTTTAAAATTCTAAAATTAGACGATTCATGGGAATTAGAACAGTCAAAATAGGTCAAAAACCGCGGGTCCAGCCCACATCATCTCACTATGGAGCAGATTTGGGAAAATATATTAAACCCGCAAATAAGCGGGCCACATGGATTAATTCGCAGTGGGTCATAGGTATAATCGGTTTTCATTCGCGGGTTGGCGGATCAGCCCGCATATTAGTATTTATTGATAAAATTATAATTTATTCAATATGTGATAATTTAAACAAACTTTTAATAGTATTTTGATTTATTTATTTATTTTAGTAATATTTTAAATTTTGGTTACTTTAAAATTATTTAAACAAAATCCATGGACAATCCCGCAAATCCGCATATATTCGCGGGACGTGTTTGTATTTCATATATGCTATCCGCGGGTCGTACGGACCGACTAACTACAAGTCAAAATATTTTTTGTCTATCGCAAAACGGACTTAACGGGACGAATCAACTCGCTTTGACAGTTCTAATGGAAATATAATTTAGTCATACAACAAAATGAAGTTTGGACATAGTAATAATATAATATGTATCTTATTTGTTAGATGAGAGATTGAAAGATGAAGTATAATGATTAAAAATTAATTATTATTTTTCATGATTCACAAAATTTAATAAATACTTATCATCTTGTTGAATAATTCTAAAATCATATTCAAGAAATATTTATACATTGAAAATTAAACTTCTTTGGTAAGCTATAGGTATAAAAATATCATAATTTCGATTTAATCTAATTAAATTAAAATTAGTTACATGGATTTCATATCTATTTAATTTACACGACCAAAATAAAAATATCTATTTAATTTACACGACCAAAATAAAAATATCAATTTAATTTATAAAACAGATGGGTTATTTGTGATAAATTTTCTAGAAATCTTTAGAAGCAAGTAAAATATCTTTCAATTAATGATAATTGGGTAAAATGAGCGAAATTAATGACAAAAACGTTGATTGTTATGAAATTAGTCCCAAAAATATATGAACAAATTTATTATACGTAATTAATGTTTAATATTGTTTGGAATATGCTTTTATTATTAGTTTCCATAAGTACAATCAGATTTTATTTGATTTCCATAAATATTTGATTTTATTTCGATTTTTCATTATTAATTCGAATTTATATTCCAAAAAATTTTCAAAGATCCGATTTCAGAATTTCGGGTCAATTTTCTGATTTTAACTCCACCCATTTTCATTTGTACTTCTCTTTTGATAATATAGAGATAAAAAAGAAACATACTATAATTTGCTGATAGTGATGTAAGATTTTTTTTCGAAAAGAAAAAAAAAAAACACAACACACATACACACACGGTGAAATGGATACTGTTAACTGTAGAATAAGAGAAGGGTTATGAAATTGATGGTCTGCTGCATCGTCAGATTTTAAATATCGTACGTCTTTTGTAAGGTCTCGTGATTACAAAATTCACTCCTTTAGATTTTGTCCCATCATTTTTTTTGGTCTTTTAACCCGTTCGACCAAATCATGACATATGCAGAATTTATTTCATGGATTTAAACAAAAATAATAATTCGTTTCATGGAATGTCCTTTTCATTTGTGCAATTCCATTTATTTCTTCCCATTTCTGAATATGACGACTACGACCACATGGTGCCAGTACCCACGACTAAACTATATAGAAACATTGTTGGGCCATAATGATATTATTTTTTATATAATATGATTGAGATTACCCATTTTTTTACATATCATTTACTCAAAAAGTAAACAAAAAACTCGGTGGTGTTTGGTTGCAGATTTCAAAGTGAGCTAGTGATAGATTCCAATTTTTGAAAACATGCATGGGTTCTTCTGATCAAAATTCAAAATACAAAAAATATTTATATAAAAAAATAAAAAGAAAAGATAAAAAAACAGGTAGACCAATTTCAATTGTACTGTTGCTGATCAAGCCATGGCCAAAAACCAGAATGGTCATCCATTGCACAGAACATGTTACTGATACTGTTCTCTTCTTTAACCATAATCTGTCCTGAAGATGAGTTTTGAAAGAACTGCATTGTCGTTGTTGTCGTTGCGGTGGCTGGCGACGGTGGGAAGAAGTGTCGACCGACTGTCTGTGGTGGCGGTGGCTGGCCACCGGTTAATGTACTGTCGTTTGATGGCGGCGCAGTTGAGATATCGAGTCTGAGATTATCTGAACTGTTATCACTTCTGTTACTACAAGATCCTTCAGTTTCTTTGTTTAGATTTATTGATTCTGTTTGTTCTCTGTTTTTTAATCCCATTATCTGCGTAATTAAAGAAATTTTAACAATTAGATTCCAATAAAAAAAATAAAATAAACAGAGTTACTGTATAATGTGATAAGCATAAAGAAGCCATTGTTTTCAGATCTCTTTTCAGACAAGAGTGAAGAAAAAATAGATAATGATGTCTGAAAAGTCATGAATCATGTCCAGTTTATTAACCCTACCTGAAAGCAACTCCTGATCCAAATAATTATTAACCAGAAATATAATCATTAACCTATTAACCAATTTTATTTTATCTTTAAACCTTTTCAGAAAGAAAAAAAAATCATAAAACACATATTGAATTTTTAATGAAAGTTTTTTTTTTGGGTTAAATTATGAAATTAATTACCTCAGCTTGAAGTTTCTGATTATGAGTTTGAAGAAGATCATTTTCAGCTTTAAGTGTATCAAACTGTCGTTTAAGAGTATCATAATCTTTCTCAAGCTGCTTTGTTTTCCAACGAGCTCTTCGATTTTGGAACCAAATCGCGATCTGTCTTGGTTGCAAACCTAAGGCACGAGCTAGCTGCATTTTCCTCTCTGGTTCAAGTTTGTTTCCAAGCTCAAAGTTCTTCTCTAATGTCTTCACTTGTTCCATGTTCAGTCTCCTCTTCTTCTCTCCCATTTGAGACCCATCATCTGAATAATCTTCTTCACCATTCATGTTGTTCACTGTTTCTAAATCGCAACAACCTTCCATTGGAGATCTCTTACCTAGAAACGAAGCAAACCCTGAAACAGAACAGAACAGAACATTAGAAAGAGATAGAAAGAGAAAACAGAGGAGATGAGTGTAGAAGTGTATGTATATACCATGGAGATCTTGAGGTAGAGAACAAGAAGGAAGAAGAGGAGCAAGAGAAGGAGATTGATGAGGCTGATCGTCTTCGTAAGAGTTTTGGATCATGAAATTTGAAGGGAAAAAAGACATTCCATTATTACAAGACATCTTCTTCTGTTTTGCAACAGAAGATAGTACTGTTTGCTTGAGATTTTGGTCGTTTCTCTCTAGTTTTTTCTTCTTACCAATCTTTGTCTTAAAGCCATTATCACGCTCTTATAAATCTGAAGCTCTTTGTGTGAGAGTCTTTGAAATCAAATGGAAAAAAAAAGAAGAGGAAAAACAACAGAGAGAGAGATAGTGAAATGTATCGGCCTAGACTATACCACTTCTGGTATTTATTTTCTTCTTTATTTCGTTTTATATAGAAAGGCTGAGAGAGAGAGAGGACCCCTAAGGTGAGAGGAGAAAGAGACGCACTCAATTGATTCTCTCCTAAAAAAAAGCTATCAAATAGCTTATGTTAAATTTGGGCTAAATCTGGACTTTCAACTAAAAACCAATTGACAATTAGTGGAATGACCATAATCCTTTATATATTATTGATTGTCCCATCAAACTTCTGATGTGGAACTTGGATTGTATCTCCAACAATCTCTCCTTCAATCCAAGGACCACATGGATCTTAACACACCTCTTCGATCCCTCACTTGGACCGATAATAAACCCCTTTCTCGGGCCCCCATTACTCGGGTTTGAGGTATGTCCGTATCCACTTTTCTAGGTCCACCGGAATTTGAACCTTGAGCTCTGATACCATGTTAAATTTGGGCTAATTCTGGGCTTCCAACTAGAAACCAATTGACAATTAGTGGAATGACCCTAACCCTTTATATATTATTGATTGTCCCATCAAACTTCCGATGTGGGACTTGGATTGTATCTCCAAAAGCTTAAACTTCATTTAAATTAAACCAAAGTATAGTTTAACTCCAATTTTTATTTTCATTTTCAACTATAGTATATAGATAGATATTTTTAAAAAACCAATGTTGGTTTCCAAGTATTGGTGGGATCCAATTTAATTTACCATGCTGCATACTACTCCTTAGGATAGTAGATTATTTCGTGGTGTTGAGATTCATCTACTAATAATTTTTTTTGCATCATACCACAAAAAAAGACATATTTTGAAATTTGAATATGAATTGAGGTGTAATATCTACTTTTGGTTGAAAAAAAAAAATCATCAAGAGATAGAACAAACCATGTAATCTAGTGTTTATGCTAGTGTTTTGTTGTGTTACCACTCAATATCAAATTCGCATAATACTAATTACTAAATATTGTTGACATTGAAAAAGGAAGCAAATTACAAGAGGGTTTAAGCTTGCGTACAAAGTGGAAAATGAAGAGATGATAATCAAAAAGGTAAGAAGAGAAAGGACTCTTCTTTTTCCCCTTTGGAGAGACATGCAAAGAGGTGTTCTCTCACACTCATCATACTTGTCCTTTAAATCTTTATCTAATCTCTTTTTCTTTTATTAGATTTGTCCCTTTTTTTTGTAAACCAAATGAGATGGGTCCAATTCTCACCTTAAATCATAACTATCAAAGTTGTGTCTCTCTCTTTTTGTAATCTAAATTTATTTCTAAAGAACTTAATTTATAAAAAATTTTGTTGATAAATCAATTGCATAGGATGAGAAGTTATCTAATAAGTAGCTAACTAAAGCCGTCGCATAGTTATATTGATGTAAATCAGTTTCCATATAATGTAGTGATATTAAGGTAGGGAAGGTGGATATAGTGAATAGGTCCAATAATAATCCTATTTAGTCACGCTAGTACGTATAGACTACAGACCCATCAAATAATCGTATTGTGTCTACATGGATAGACCTAGAACTTTGGATCTAGGGAGTACATAAAACAAGAAAATACTTGGTATTTTTGTTTTTATTTTTTGGGAAGAAGTGATCATATATATTATTGATGTTCAGATGTTCTATGATGCTAGTTTTGATTATTTTGTTGTTAAAAGGACATATTTAACAAACAAAAAAAAACATACGAAAAAATAAGGAAATAGATGCACTTGTAAACCCAAGTAGACTATGGTTTAAATTATTTACAATCAGATTCAGATATAATTACTTTAAATTTTCTTAGTTTCATGCTTCGATGCAGGCCTAGGTGAAGCGGAAAGATGCGGGGCAGTCAAAATAATTACAACCTACCTTGTCTCGTACCGTCTTCGTCTCCATTCGAAGCTTTAGTTTAGTTGTTAAATTCAAAGTACGATCTAATGATACATTAGAGAGTTATACACATATACAATTTAATGATGCAATTATTTGAAACCCTTTTGTTGTTTTCCATGTATTTAAAGTTAATAAAACAGACGTGTTATATGTTACATGGCTTATGTACACATGAATGCATATGTGCGTCAGTGCGTGTGTATATGCATGCATAGACAGACGTATAAAGATGGTGCGTGGGGTATTTAGGTTAAGGAAAAAACCAAACAAAAATACTGTTTGATTAACCCCACATAAGAGCTGTTCTATCTTGTCTCTCCCTCCTTTCCTCTTCCATTCCTTTCCATAATCAATATCTTTCTTTTATTTTATTTTTATTTTTTCTTAATTTCCCTTCCCCCAACATCCCTTGTGCCGTATTCGTCGATCGATTCATTGATTATGTTTTCTCAAACATCATCAACCACATAATTGTTAACATTTTTACGTTCATTTTCACTTTCGATTAGACTACTATTCATTACGTTTTAGACTACTTAGAGCATCTTTAACGGTGGTTGCTTAGCTTGTTCTTAGGGTGAATTATGTATAAAATTAAATAATAAATCACGCATAAATCTAAGAGGCAGCTAAGGCATCTCTTAGCTAAGAGACAAATGTGATGCTAAGAGGCGGTGACGTGGCAGTTGGAAGGGTAAAAAAAAAGAGTTTCCGTGTTTTTTTTCTTTCTCTCTCTCTCACATTTTCGCGATAGAACCAAAGAGAGAAACAAAGGCGTGAAATCGACTCCAATCGGAGGAGTCTCCGATGTCAATGACCTCCGGCCGTCGTTCCACCGTTATCTCTGCATCTCCACCGACGGCGGTTGTCCACGGCGTCTGCGGTTCACAAAATCGGCGAGGTGGGCTTGCGAAATTGGGGACAACTTTCACCAGAGCTCCGAGGCGATGGCGATTCAACCAGTTTCGGTACCGAAATTTAACTCTATCGCTTCAGATCCCTTCAATTTTCGAAAGGTGAACTCCAAAAATTTCCAAATCTTCTTTCTTTGCCCTTTGTGCTTGAGGCTAATTTTCATTTTTATTGTTATAGATATATGAATTTTGAAGCTATATTAGTGAAGTTTCCTCATTTTTGATTATAGGGAAGAAGTCATATCTTTGAGTTTGAAAATTATTCTGACATGCATGCTTGCTGTGATTTCATCAGTAAGCTCCATGTGCCATGATTTGGTTTTATTGATTTATAAGTATGTTCTCTTGTTTCTTTCGTGGTGTTGTTGTTGTAACCATTTGTACTATGAACAGCTAAGGCCCTTTGTGTGATGTTGACTCTGTCTCTACCTTTCTTCCACAAAGGGGTTTTGAAGATGACCACCCTTTACCTTAAGGAGAGACCCAATCCCCTAGTGATGGTCATCGTTCGAATCATCAAGCCCTCAAGATTCAACTGTTCCTTGAAGTCTATGCACTGGCCAAACCAGCTTGAAATGGAGGCAGAAATGGCTTGGAAACAGGAAATGGAAAAGAAAAAGAAAGAAGTAGAAGGAAGCTAAAAGACAACGCATTGCAGAAATTCAGAGACAACAAAGAGAGGTTGATGAAAAACTACAAGCTGAAAAAGAATTGAAAAGACAAGCTATGGTAAGAGCCCTTCTCTTGTTATGTTAAAAGAAATTTTGTTTGACTATTGTGTTGTGCAAGTTTTGCTAAATCAAAAATGAAACTTCATGATGCGAGGATTAAAGCACAGAAGGAACTCAAAGAAGACCAAAGTAATGCTGAGAAAACCTGAGGACAAGTGAATACTAGGGTCCCTGCAGTGAGATAAAAAAGTAATTCCACTGATACCAATGCTTCAAGCTGCTATAGAGATAATGATTTCAAGGTACAAGTCGTCTCTCATCTTTTGTAGACACTTTAGAGATGAAACCAATCTTAATAGATGACAATCGTTGTGCTTATAGGTGATGACAAGCATCACATGGCAAGTAGAGATGACAAATCTTTTGTTTGAACTAAAACTTTGTAAACACTTTAAGTTTGTTTTTCTGTCCAACACAAATGTAAACACTTTGTCCAAAACCACAACTCTGTTTCATTCAAAATTTGGTTTAACCAAAAGTTCATATGTAAACACTCGAAATTTCTTATGCATATTACACTGCAGAAACTTGATAAAGAAGAAAGAAGATGATAGAAGACAATTATGACAAATGTTTACTCAAATGATCATTCAAATGTAAACGCTCAAAAGTTCATATACATATAAAACTTTCAAAATTTGAATTGTATCTCATGTATGTTTTAATTTTTTTAATTTCAACAATTATTATTTTTTTTATAATTATAAATTTTATTTTTATATTAATATATGTTAAGAGCCTACCATTAATCACACAAAAATCTTAACTCAAAAATACTATCTCTTAACAATCACTTTTACAAATATATTACTAAAAAATTGCTAAGAGATATTTCTAAGATACTACCAATAATCATGCTCTTATTATCCGTCTCTGACATTTCACGCATCACATCGTGCCATTCTTTAATCAGACTTTTGGCATCAAAGTACATACTTATCCATGCATACATATAGTTTCACAAATAGCCGTATAATTGAATGTGTATATATGATTTAGTTTTTATTTTGTATGGAATGTGAATGACCCAAAAGGTTATAAACAATCTGGTTTTCACTTTTCAGAAGACTGGTCAAAATTGTTAATTTTAACTACTTTTAGTACTCAAAGTATACATATATATTGATGAGAAAAGAAAAAAGATGGATGCACTTATCGTAGACACGTTTTAATCCATTTGACGATGGGCATTACTACATTTGGTGTGGTACAAATCCCACGGTCAATCAATCTAAGAGATCACTTGCGGTCACTGAGCGACGACGTTGTAAGATTTTATATATACATATTCCATAATGTTTACTGTTATGATCCATTCTTCACAAGATTTAACTAGAACCGATATATGCACGCTTATCATCAAGAAGTGAAAAAACATAGCGTATGATTAGGTATGTGGAAACTGGAAAGGCTAGTCTTACAAGTTCAAGTTGCTAGGGATTTGGAAAACTTGTATAGTCGTGTTTTTTTGGGTATGATCACCCAACTTTGGAGTATTTTTTTCAGGCACTATAAAAGCATATGTTTCGATTACTGTCTATCCAAATGGAAATGTCTTAATGGCCTAAAACTTCAACATGAAATTCAGGAAAGTCCAACAACGTAGTTTTCAAGAAGTCACAATATGTCCCTCCTCTCGTGTCACACCACCCCTAGTCCTAGCGAACTAGCTACATATTATAAAATACTTTGACATAAAGATATATACTTGTGTGCAGTGGCGGACTCAGAAATAAAAATTTTCCGGGTCAATATTAAAAAAATAAAATTTTTACAAGCAAATGAAAAAAAAAGTATATAAACCGCTGTTATTTTTTTAATTTTTTTTGAAGTATATAAGACCAAAAAAACATGCATTTAAGTTGAAATATAATGGAAAAAAGAGTAAATATGTCAATTCAGAACGCTTGAACCCGAGTTTAGGTGAATCAGATACTAGGAAAATACTAACTATGCTGTTGGAATTTTTGTTAATTATATACACTAAAATGTATTTGATTATTTTATCCGGATCAGGTGACCCACCTTTCTTGTAAGTAGGTCCGCTTTTATATGTGAATATATAACAGGGGTTACCAATCGGAACCTTATTGTTTTTTATTCAGCTATAAGCATTCTACATGTTTTAAATCAAGATGGTGATTAAGAGACACTACTAATACAAACACTTGCATAAATCCTCTATGATTATGTCATTCATATTCATTATATTAAAAGAGAATTTACGTCTATATTTGAAATAGATTACCTATGATATTCTTAATTGATACATTTTTTCCCTAGTTTTGGAATAAAGGGGGTGGTGTTCATGTTCCATACCACAAACATGTAAATAAAGCAAAGAAGACATGGTGGACCCTTGACAAGAGATAAGGCCCAAAAGTTGGGTAATTTCAGCCATCACGACAAAGGCACACTTCTCATTTCGATATCCATATTATTCTATTCTTCTACACTTCTCTTTCCCTCACTAAATCGTTGATATGCCTTCAATTTTTTTTTTTGGAACCGATCAAACGTTGCACTAGTGTGTGCCTTCGCTGACCGATAGAGTTACAAGAGTTAGGCAATATGCCTTCAATTTACTCAACCTTTTCGTAAGAACACACAATTATACACACACCCATATATAAACTTATGAATTTATGTTGTTGGATAAGTTATTTATTTTTTAATAAATCGTTTAGTAGTTAAGAGTAATTTTCTGCTATAGTAGTGATGAGATAACGTACGACAAGCATGTGGCCAAATCCCAAATTAAGTATTTTCTTCTTTGAATTTCAGTTATTTGCAAATAATAATGTCACTACTCGATTTCCTGGAATAAAGGAGTAAGAGTATCATGTTCTCCTTCATGTTTCCATTTCACGTTTCCACGTTTTTTTTTTTGGGAAAATTGGAAATAAAGGATATCTACTTAAAAATTTGTCTATATACACATTTTTTGTGAGATTGTCAGTTTAGACGATTTTACCCCTACACCCTAATTTAAATATTTTTTTAGGGTGAACGACCTGTGTCCCCCCACGAAGTTTCATATAGTACCATAACAACACAGATTTCGGGTCTCGTCTCCAGTCCACACAAAACGAAAGTTAAACTCCAATTTCCCCCTAAATTGAAAGTTCGAGACCTCAGTCTCCATAAATTCAAATTTCGTGGTTTATCATTGGTTTACTGTGCCGAACCCGATGCCAAACCAAAACCCAGAATAATAAACCGGATAATAAACCATCCTCCTCTCTCTCTCTACCTTCTTCACCATCTTCAATCCGATCTTTCTTCTTCACCATCCTCCTCTCTCTCTCTACCTTCTTCACCATCTCCAACGCACGGAAGTTTAATGTCGAAGGCAGCGGCGCATGGGTTCCAAACCCACCAGATGCAATTCATCATCCAAATTGAAAAAAAAAATCGACATGAAAAAAAGATTCCACAAAAACTCTAATTGCTTTAATGGGAATCTAAAATAAAAGATTGCATTTGGCATCTGAGGATTTGGTAAAGCTCGATTTACAAAACAGAACACAAACAAAGAACAAATCAAATCAAGGGTCAATGATCCAACAAAAGCTAATGTAATGGCAACATTCTCATCATTACCAATCAACGAAGAGAACCTTGACAATGTATTAAAGAACAAAACTTTCAGAAAGATTTAATCAAATCAAAAGGAAAACCAATAAAATCATCAAATCCCGCGAGAGATAAAGAAACCTAGACGAAGAAAAAGGCCAACATTCTTCGATTTTAACGAAAAAAATAAAATCCCGTAACTTTTTGCAGAAAAGATCTATAAATCGGGGAAGAGATAGATGTTGAGAAAGATAGAATCTGAGAGAATAAATCGGAAGAAATTGAGAAGAAGAAGAGATCTGAGGATTATAATTACCAACTTTTGTCTTGATTGAAGATGGTGAAGAAGGTAGAGAGAGAGGAGGAGGATGGTTTATTATCCGGTTTATTATTCTGGGTTTTGGCCGGTTTATTATTCTGGGTTTTGGTTTGGCATCGGGTTCGGCACAGTAAACCAATGATAAACCATGAAATTTGAATTTATGGAGACTGAGGTCTCGAACTTTCAATTTAGGGGGAAATTGGAGTTTAACTTTCGTTTTGTGTGGACTGGCGACGAGACCCGAAATCTGTGTTGTTATGGTACTATATGAAACTTCGTGGGGGGACACATGTCGTTCACCCATTTTTTAAAAAAAATAATCATAAAAATAGGTAGATATACAAGAGTAGAGGTGATTTGAAGTGGAATTTTTTAGATTTGGTTTAAAAAAGTTGATTTTTTATAGATAAAGTTTCATCTAATTTTGGTAGAACACGTTTTCTAGAGTTCTGCGAAACTCAGAATGTGCATTCTGCATTTTTGTACATGTTCTACATATTTCAGACTAGATTTATGTTCTGAGAATTTTAGAAATCCGAAAATCATATATCTAAAATATTTAGAACATGCATTCTACATTTCCCTCTATGTTCTAAATATTTTAGAATAGCCGTTCTAATAATTTTTACATCTTCTGTCATCGTTAGAAATTGTAATCTTCGTTTAGAATGTAAATTCTACGATATTGCAGATTTCGATTTCTGTAAGTTTTAGAATACTCTAAATATAGAAAGTAAATCTTCAGAAAAGGAAACAAAATATTTTTTTTAGATTACGATTAAATGAATATTTATTGTTTAGATTACGATCTTCAAGATGTAGAAGTTGTTGTCTACGGTTTTTAGAATAAGATTAAAACCTAAAACGTTTTCTAAACCCTAAAAAGCTACACGTCTTAATCCTACACGTCTTAAACCACCACTTTCGTTTCTAAAAAGCTAAGAACACTTTTCCTTCAAATTTTCCCTTTTTTGATCAACGATTTTTCGATGCATATCTACGTAAAGAGTGGTGTGTGGAGATTGTATAACAAAGAGTGGAGATTTATTATTGATGAAAAAAATCGTGGGAGATTGTTGAGTTTGGAAACGACTACAACTTTTGAAGAGTTACAGGCAATTGTTGCAGAAGACTATGGAATAGAACAGAGTACAATACTGCATCTATTTCATGCGATGCAATTATTTTTAAAAACAAGTTAGTATTTATCGAAATGAATACGTAATCAGTCATAAAAAAAAAATAGTAAAACTTACATCGTTGCCTAGCCATTTTTTTTTATCAATCAGACGCTGAAATAGTGCATTAGTAAGATGAGATGGACAGAGTTTTGGAACTTCACGACTGCAATGAAGATAAAACAAAAAGAATAAACAATTATAAAATCAGCTATATTTAAAAGATATAAAAATAGAATCATAAGACTTACTTTACGTTTCTAAACCATGCTTCAAAAGCAGTCCATCTAGCTTCAGGTAAGTATACCAACCAAGTTTTATTTTTAAAATCAAATTTTTATTAATTTTGAGAGAAAATGAGGGTAACATTGAGTTTTTTTATTTTTAAAAAACCTATTTGACCAATCTACAAGAAAAAGAGATATATAGACAAGTTTTTAAATAGATATCCTTTATTTCCAATTTTCCCTTTTTTTATAATATGAAAATATTTACGTTTACAGTTACACGTTCGGTTTGTTGCTTAGTCGTTCCAAGTTTATAGGAATTTTATCAAATAAAAACAAAACAAAAAAGTTTATCCTACGCCGTTTGTGGAGCTAGTAAGTAATTTTGATGTTAATATAGTATTAAATAAAACTTAAAAAATCCTGGAGATCAGATACGATTGTGTTTGAATTATTTTATACGTTTATTTCTGGAAATATATACAAATTGATATGATCACTAAGATTCTGGGAATGATTCCAAAACGAACTTTTATTCAAATCCAAAACACATAATTACAGATCATAGATAAATATGGAAATAAATAATGTCTCATAAAACTTAACTAACATTTGTGTAACATCATCATTAATGCGATTCATTTAGAGATGTAATTTTTTTTTAAATATGTTTATTTCTGGAAATATATACAAAATTGATCTGATCACTAAAGATTGTGGGAATAATTCCAAACGAATTTAATTCAAAACCAAACACATCATTACAAATCATAGACCAAAATGGAAAGTAATAATTTATTGAAACTTAAGATTCTGTGTAGTCAACATATATACAAAATTGATCTCATAACTAAGATTATGGTAATAAATTCCAAACGAAATTAAATTCAGACCAAACACATTTACTCAATCATAGATCGATATAGAAAGAAATAACTTTTCTAATAAAAAATTAACATTTGTGTATAATCATTATCATTCATGCGATGTAAAAAGAGAAAGAAGAAGATGGGCCTCAAATTTTTTTATTAGGCCCATATGTTTTAAATTCATTAAAAAATAAAAAAAAATATTCCCAAAAATTTCGAAACCCATCACTTTGGCGCTTATGTGACGCGCTTATTTCGCCCTCAATCTCCAGATTATTTAGTCGTCACTCGTCACACCACTTTTTTTCTAGGGTTTCTCATTCGTCTCTTTATCTTCCTTCTCTTTAGCTTCCTTTGTTTCTCCGGCTCAATCATGGCGCCGAAGCGCAAGAGAGCTACAAAGAAGGACGAGAGTACCAAATCCATTCCCAAACCGAGGAAGAGAGCTCCTAAGCGAGCTAAAACTGTGAAAGAAGAGCCGGTGAAATTCGTGGAGGAAGGGGAAAAGTATGTTGCAAGGTTTCTCGACGAACCTATTCCAGAATCTGAAGCCAAGAGTACTTGGCCTGACAGATACAAACCGATTACGGTAATTTCATTAATCCGAAACTGGAATTTTTGGTGTTTGTATAGCATTTATAGGAAATGGTTAGATCTAATAGAAATTCGCTGAGATTTGTTGCAGATCTGTTGATTTCTGAAGGAATTTTTCTTTTGTTTTTGTTCAGGTACAAAAACCTAAGGCTCCGTCAAGAAACACGACGAAGTAAGTTTTTTGAATCGTTGCTTCTTGTCTATAATCAGAAAGAGAGGCTTTACTTTTGTTTGATTAGAAATGTTCTTGTTTCGTAAACGATTGATTAAGTGATTTCGTTTTGCAGGGATGACGAAAAAGATAAGATCATTCGGGCTCGATGCCATTATAGACGTGCGATTGTTGATGAGCGTCAGATATATGAGCTTAATGATGATGCTTATGTGCAGGTATAACTCTATTACGTCTCTATTGCATTTGTTACATTCGAATGAGCAAATGAAATTTGAAAGCATAGATTTATCTGTGGTACATTGAAGAAAATGAGTTAGAGAAGAGAATGTGCATGACATTGTGTTTCTTGGTGTTTGAGTTTGATGATTATTGGGTTTTCACCACTTCTGTAATGTGCCAACATGGTTTAGTGTGTAGAAAAATATGATGTGCAGGGCAAATAGTTGACCAAAGTGGATCACATTCTCCTCCCTGAACACTATCAACTGTCCCGAATAAATATTTATGCATTGTCTTTGTATGACATACTTTGTATTTCTGCAAGTCCTTATGAGGATACATTGATGGTAGTTATCTTACGAAGTTGAGTTCTCATCTGAAACAATAACTAACTGATTGTTATTTAGGCTGACATAGTATATTATGCATTGGCAATATGAACGCTTATCATGTTGTTTTATGTTTTTTTACAGCAGAGGTAGATGCCTTACCATAACTAACTTCTGTTTTTCACAACTTGGTTTTATATTTTTTGTGCAGGCTGGTGAGGGAAATCAGCCCTTCGTTTGTAAAATTGTTGAAATGTTTGAAGGGGCTAATGGGAAATTGTATTTCACAGCTCGGTGGTTCTATAGAGCTGATGATACTGTAAGATTAATAGATTTATTCTTCTTCACATTCTCTTTTTACTATGTTGAATTGTCTGAAGTTTTTTTCTATTCTTAACTTTCAGGTGATGAAACAGTTCAAGATTCTGATCGATGATAAGCGTGTGTTTTTCTCGGAGATTCGAGATACAAATGAATTGGGATTACTAGAAAAAAAGTTGAACATTTTGATGATTCCCTTAAATGTATGTTCTTACTTCACTGTTACTTGTAGTGTCTGTTTTTGGTATATAGAATCTTAGTGCAATCTTCCATTGATACTGAACTTACTTTTGGTTCTCATGCCAGGAAAATGCTGCTGGGCCTATCGCTGCAACAAAAACCTGTGATTATTATTGCGATATGAACTATCTCTTGCCTTACGATACATTTGAAGCTTTACAACAAGGTTAGTGCTTTTAACAATTGATCTTCAAGTTTAGCATTTTTTTTACTGCTAATTGGATTAGATAAAATGCTGCAGTTTTTAAAGATAATCATATATAGATCTTTCAATTGTGCAGATACCAAAATGGCTATAAGTGAAAGTTCAACAATATCCAGTGATACTGATGTAAACGAAGGAGCTGCTGCTATATCAGAGAATCAAGAAGGTTCTCAAGACACACGAGTTCAAAGAGAGACAACTTTGCTTGACCTTTACTCCGGCTGTGGAGCTATGTCCACAGGGTTGTGCATGGGTGCACAACTCTCTGGTTTGAACCTTGTCACTGTGAGGCATTTTAGCTTGCTAATTATCTTCTCCGATTTGTTTAATCTATCAATTCTTGACTTTTGTTATTTTAAATGATTCTCAAGAAATGGGCTGTTGACATGAATGCGCATGCATGTAAAAGCTTGGGGCATAACCACCCAGAGACACACGTAAGTTTTTAGTTTTCCTTTTTCCCAATTCGATATTGTTTCCTATGTTTATGTTCGATTGACTACGGAAATTCTCAGAGGCTAAAATCACTTCATTTTAGGTGAGAAACATGTCCGCAGAAGATTTCTTGTTTCTGCTTAAGGAGTGGGAGAAGCTATGCATTCATTTCTCTTTGAGAAATTCTCCAAATTCAGAAGAATATGAAAACCTTCATGGTATGACTAATGTTGAGGACAATGAAGATGTCAGCGAGGAGAGTGATGATGAAGATGACGGCGAAGTTTTTACAGTGGAAAAGATTGTTGGTATTTCCTTCGGAGTCCCTAAAAAGTTACAGAAACGTGGTCTTTATTTGAAGGTATTGTGGCTCTGTTTATTACAATTTACACATTATATCTCATGGTTTTGCCTTGTTATAGTCAATCTTCTTTGGTGTTTTGATAAAATAGGTACGATGGTTGAATTACGATGATTCCCATGATACATGGGAGCCTATTGAAGGACTCAGGTGAGCAAAACATAATAAATATTTGCATTAAAATTATATATGTTAATGGGTTGTTAAAATCTCTAAATTTATCTATGAACAGTAATTGCCGGGAAAAGATAAAGGAGTTTGTCAAACTCGGATATGAATCTGGCATCCTTCCGTTACCAGTATGTATACCTGATTCTTTTGCTTTCTTAAATTTCTGAAGCTAGTACATAATTTTTCAGATATTTAATCTAAAAGCCATAAATGAAAAGTTCTTCTTGTATATGATAAGTTCTGTGGGTCTTATGTATAGATAACGTACTTAAATTAGTTAGTCACTGACTCTTATGCCTAAATAATAATTTAGGGAGGTGTTGATGTTGTCTGTGGCGGGCCGCCATGCCAAGGAATCAGTGGTCATAACCGCTTCAGGAACTTATTGGAGCCTCTAAAAGATGAGAAAAACAAGCAGCTTCTTGTTTATATGAACATTGTGGAGTTTCTAAAGCCGAAATACGTTTTGATGGAGAATGTGGTAGACATGCTTAAGATGTCTGAGGGCTATCTTGCGCGTTATGCTGTGGGAAGGCTTATCCAAATGAATTACCAAGTCAGGATGGGAATGATGGCGGCAGGAGCATATGGTCTTGCTCAGTTCCGCTTGCGGTTCTTCTTATGGGGTGCACTCCCTAGCATGGTAAAATTTTTAATGTTATCTCTTTGTTTTTTTATTAATGAATAGATGATGTTCTTAACTTGTATCTTTCTGTTTCAGATGATTCCTCAGTTCCCACTTCCAACTCATGATTTAGTACAGAGAGGAAATATTGTTAAGGAGTTTCAGGTAAGACTGTATATTAGTACTTTTCAATTTGTATAGCAAATTCTCATATTTGCTTGTAATTAATGCAGGGAAACACAGTAGCCTATGATGAAGGCCACACTGTGAAGTTAGCAGACAAGCTTTTACTTAGAGATGTGATTTCTGATCTTCCCGCTGTAAGTCTTGATGTGTGGCTTATCTTGACTAAAATTAGCTAAGTCTTGCATATTCTCTGACTTACTAAGTTTTTCTTTGAGTTTAGGTTGACAACAGTGAACAAAGGGACGAGATACCATATGACCAAGATCCTGTGACACCATTTCAACAGTTCATCAGATTAAGAAAGGATGGTAAGATTCTTACTATTTTTTGTGGAAACAATGTAAAAACATAGATTTGACAACTATTATTGCAACTTTAGGTTCATTAACAAATTGTTTATGAACTTTTTTTTTCAACAGAAGCGTTAGGTTCACTAACAAAGTCCAAGTCCAAAAAGCATGTCTTGTACGATCATCATCCCCTGAATCTGAATATTAATGATTATCAACGAGTTTGTAGAGTCCCCAAGAGGAAGGTACAGCCTTCTCAGACTCATTGATCATATATTTTGGTTCTTGTTTGTTTTAGTTTCTAGGGTTATTCTGATTTTTTCAACACAAACTTTTGGTATTAGGGAGCGAATTTCAGGGACTTTCCTGGTGTTATTGTTGGACCCGGTAATGTAGTCCACTTGGATGAGGATATGAAAATCATGCTTCAATCTGGAAAACAATTGGTAATAATGATCATCTCTTTTTTGGTCCTCATATCAAACTTGATTTTCTTCTCATTAACTGCTCAACTTGCTTTTCTCCTCATTGGCTGCTATGTTATTCAAACAGGTTCCCAATTATGCGTTGACGTTTGTCGATGGGACATCGTCCAAGTGAGTTTCTTTTCTCTTTTCTTCTTCTCTGTAAATTCTGAATATGAAGAATGTTTTCTGTAATGGAAATGACCTAAACCATTTGCTTTTTTCAGACCTTTTGGTCGCCTTTGGTGGGACGAGATAGTCCCTACTGTTGTCACACGTGCGGAACCGCACAACCAGGTGAGACCTCTCATGAGAATCAACTCTGTTCTGAGTTTTGGCTAGTTGTATGTTAAGTTTAGAGATGATGAAAAAAAGGTTCATTCTAGTGTTCTAGAGTTGCATTGATTTATTGGGATGTGCATGTAACACTGGAAACTAACTTAAAGAGTATAAACTTATTTGATGTTGCTGGTGATTGATTGCAGGTGATCATTCATCCAACGCAAGATCGTGTTTTATCCATTCGAGAAAATGCCAGACTCCAGGGCTTTCCTGATGACTACAAACTCTTTGGACCAACGAAACAAAAGTGAGTATTGTAACAATGCCTTCAATTCACATGTTTTTGTTTGTTACCACGTTGTTCTTATTAGATTTTTGATTGAACTCTGCTACATTTCTTTGAAATCCAGACTAATCTTACATAACTTCTGTTTTTTCAGGTATATCCAAGTCGGTAATGCGGTAGCTGTGCCAGTAGCAAAGGCCCTTGGATATGCTTTGGGAATCGCTTTCCAGGGTCTCGCAGATGGGAAGGATCCACTTCTTACTCTTCCTGAAGGTTTTGCATTCATGAAGCCAAATCTTCCTTCCGAGCTTGCATGAACACTGTTGATTCATTGCATTCTTCGATTCATTGTCTTTCTTGGATTTATCTTTAGACTATTTTCTGCGTTGTTTGGATTTGTTTTGTTTAAGTTTCACGACTTTCAAGTTTGTGTTCTGAATTTCTGGTAACTTTGTTTAAATCAGATTTCATGGATTTGTGGGATTGTCTCTTTCTTTTTGTCTAAGAAAAAATTTCGGATTTAAGTATTTCTTGATTAAAGCCGTAAAGGCGATGTTGGATTCGTTCGGCTAGAAGAACTTAGTGACTCTTTACATATGGCCCATTTAATAATAGGCCTAACATCTATTGTGATCTGTTTTGAGCTAATAACCCATGAAGCCCTATCGAACCAGAATAATATTTGTGTTGTAAATTGATTGACTAATTGGTGGGTTTGTGTCAGTCTTCAGTGAAATGTACATGGTTTTGGACATATGTTTAGATTTATTTATATGATCACCAAAAATGGATCTATTTGATTAGATCTTCGTGGTTTAATTATGTTTGAACCCTGAATAATTTTAATGTGGATAACCTCTATTTAGGAGTTAATTGTTTTCACTTTTCTGTATAAGCTAATAAGTTTTGAAACTTTGCCGAAAGAATAGATATAAACCTTCAGATGAAAAAGAGTTCTATTATTGGGCCAAAAGAGTGGGGTTTTCTTATTGGGCCTTACTTTCCCAAGATTCAGCCCACCTTTTTCCTTTTATCGTGTCTTCTCTTGTCTCGTCTCCCTACTCTGCTGTAAGCCATCTCAATCTCATAATCTCGTCGTCACCATCAACTTACCTCCTCAGAAGTTTCCCCAGGTATGCTCTTACTCTTCACCCTCTAATTCTTCTCAGATTGGAAGGGTTTGGATGTTGGTAGAGTTTGTGGCTCTTGTTTTGTGGAATTCTGATATAGCTCATTCGTCTTCAATGAGCTTGGATACTTTTGTGTCTACATTTGTGCTCTCTTGTAGCAGCTTTATCGTTTTGATGCGATCATTTACCGCAGTATGCGGATTCTGGCTCGATTTGGCTATGTTAAAAGTTGTCTCATCGCAACTTGGACAAAGTTCTCTGAGTTTAAAAAACCGACCAGGTTTCCTGGTTCATTGGGGCTATCATAGCCCTCATCTCTCCTTTATGGAGTTTATTATCTTTCCAACGACCTCACTTGTATTTAGTGATAGTGTTACAGGCAACATTGAGTGCAAGACTGTTATGCTTGAAGTAGAAGCGAGAAATCTACTGGTGTTTGAAAACCGTGCTTTTTCTGAGGAGGACACTGCTTTGAAAGCCATAACTGCGGCAAAGGAATGGCAGGAGGCAAACCTTGCAGTCCATGGCCAATCGCGGAACAGAGCACAAGCTGTACCTCTTATTAAGGATATATCAACTCCACTACCTCACTCAGAGGATCCTTCTCTCACTTTACCTCTTATTGAGGCTCCTTCTCTCAATTTACCTCTTATTGAGGCTCCTTTTCACAGAATTCCTCGCGATGAGGTTTTTTCTTGCTACACGGATGCAGCTTGGATCGCATCCTCTGGCTCCTGCGGTATGGGATGAATTTTCAAGACTCAAGATCATCGAGTTATCCATCAGGGATCGGCAACTCGCCTCCATACACCATCGGCTCTAGCTGCTGAAGCTTTGGCCTTGAGATCAGCGCTGATCGCAGCGTCTAGAATGGAATTCACCTCCATCAAAGTTTTTTCGGACACGCAAGTCCTCATATCTCTGCTAAATACAGAGACCTCTACGAACGAGCTTCAAGGGATTCTCCATGACATTGCCTTCTTTAGTCGTTCGCTATCATCTATCAAGTTTCTTTTTGTTCCACGCAAGTCTAATATGTTAGCTGATGCATTGGCAAAGGCTGTCTTATCTTCTTTACCTGTTTTAACTACTTCTGCTTTGTAAGAATCGTCTATTTATCTATAAAACCAGTTTGACCAAAAAAAAAAAAAAAAAGAGTTCTACAAACCGAACGTTTAAGAGATATGGAGACAACAACATTATACATTCCAAAGTTTTGAGATTGAGATTTAATTTTTTTATAGAGATGACATATTCTGAGATAAAATCTTAACGTATCATTAATTATTTGAAAAATTATGTCTAAGTCAAACTTGTACTCCCTCTGTATTATAAAGAATGATTTTTTGAGGTTTTAATTTTGTATCAAAAAGATTAATTTTCTGTAAATTTTTATCAATTAATGTTAATAAATTGTGAATTTCAAGAATCATTAATTGAGAATTTAAAAATTTGTTGAATTACAATTGGTTAATAGAAATAGTTTGGTATAAATAAATAATGCATTTATAACTAAATATTAAATGTTTTTTTAATTGGTGTGAAAATTCTATAAAATCAATCTTTTTGATACATAGGGAGTATTTATTAACTTTCAATTCTACATAAAACACTATATATTCCTTCTTTTTAGTAAATTGTTACTAAGAATACATAAAAATCATACTGTTAAAGACTTCAAGTAAATCAAATACTTTTACTAGAACAGAGAACAAACCAATGTTTATGGATCATACAAAATTCTATAATATAAAAGTCACTTGTTAATCTAATTGCATAGAATACAAGACTGGTCCACTACTCGAACATCGTCGTTATTGTCGGGGATGGTCTATTAATATAATACAACTACATCATCGATGAATCAATTCAACGCACCGAAGCTGATTAGTTATATTAGTTTACTTTCCGAGAACTTCCTAGATTAAATCCAACACGCTATAATATTAATAGAGCGTAAAGATTGTATTAAAACGGATACCTAGTTCCTATCAATATGTTAATTGTCTCATTAATATATTAAATCTTCACCCAATTAAAGATCTCATGGCCTCATCACTAGTTTTTAAATACAAGTCTGAATTTTAGGCTAAAGAAAGCGAAAAATATCACGTTATATGTTGAGTTTATGTAACTAATAAAAATAGATGAATGACTCGGATAGACGTGGACATCCCCTTTTGTATCTTTCTCTCGGATATAATCAAATTAGTGGTTGTATAAAATAGTTTCGTTCCAGTCAATTGAACGTTCTCCTTTTTCACATGGTTGAGGCCTAAGTGCCTTAGTCATTCGTTTGTTTGGAAATTTATGTGATGTTCGGAAAGTTTATGTATATAAGTGTTATATGTTGAACCTAAACATATACAAGAAACCATGGTAGCTATTCAACTAAATTCCCACCTCCTCATATAAAAATATATAAATATACAAAAAGAATGGAACTGTTTAATCGTTTCTTTAAATTAATATTTACTTATACAGTTTGGCATTTTGGTAACGAAGAAAAACCGAGTCACGTACGGTATGACTGTTTAGCTAGTCCATATATGTTGACGTTAGGATTCTATTAATGCAGTCTCACGTTTTTTTCTGACTTATTTTTAAAACAAACTATTCAAACTAATGTATTTGAATCTTTCTTATATGTTGGCAAGTCCTTTTTAATCCGAACAGCACAAATATCCAAAAAAACAAAAGGAAAGGAGTGTGTAGTTTTGCTCAAGTGGTTGAGACACCAGCAATGCCTTCGTTCCTACTCTCAAGTTGTTTGATTTTTCCCCTAAATAGATCAGTGTAAGCATTTAAAGTCGTTTGTTCTTGGTCTTTTCTAATGTGTTTAATGGCCTGAAAAAAAAAATCAAATTCAAACCAAGAATTTAGAAACATGACTTTCCAACCTTGTATAAATAATTAAAGTATTGAATAATACATTTTTATGTGTTATTGATAATACACGATTGATGTTAATCCATGTTTACACATCCGAGGTACTAACATCAATCGTGTATTGACTTTCAAACTTTTTGCGGTATATTTTGTTGTTAAAAGTTGAATATAAGGGTTTACAAACACACATGGGTAAACTGTTTTTGTTTAGATATATATATATATATAGAGTTTGAATTGGTGACTTCATTTAAAAAAACGGTTAAAGAGTTTTTTTGATGATTGTGAAGAGGACCGTTAAAAAAAGCTGTAAAAATTAACAAAAAAAATACTGTGAAATTAAATAAAGATGTTAAATAATGGCGCTACGATTGGTATTTATGGACCGATTTTTGTTTTTGTTTTACAGATTATAGATACACTTATTGACATGCTACATGTATCAATTATTAATTGGTGGATTTGGGTAAAGTTTAAATACGATGCATGTAGATATATTTGTTATGAAAATATATTTTATGTAAAGTACTTGTCTTTCGTTTGGGAACCGTTCATCGTCACTCTATATGATGCGTGTATATATAGGTAGATTTGTCTGTCAGATAGTAAACCATCAGCTCTAGTAAGATGATCAATTCAAAATCTTATAGTATGAATTAAGACACAAGATTGAGATGGGAGGAGGTTTGGGTTAGGTGCATACTGCAAACTAACCTCACGTGGTGGATGATACTTTTCTTTCCCTCAAGTACCGATCTAATTGTACCAAATTTCTTATTTATTTATTTATTTTTCTTCCATTAATAATACAGTATTACTACATGTCTGGTACAGAAATCAGAATAAATATTGTTGAGCAAATAAAAATTTAGCAAGTCAATAATAGATAAATTAATAACATAACAAAACATAACACCAATTAATCTAAATATATAGAAGGAATTGAAATTTAGGTGATTCAAATTTATGATAAGACACTGAGAAATGCGTCAATCTATTCAAGTACAATTAACAACATTTTATAACTCAATAATAAATTCGAGATATATCATAACTCCGCAACACTTTTTTTTTTTGCCAATAACTCCGCAACACTTAGATGAAGATATATCTCGACAGAAAAAAGTTAAGTACAAACTATCCGAGAAGGAGAACTCCGGGTTGCTTTTGATAAGAACAAACCCGACCCAAAAGGATAACACAAAGCCAACTTAGAGCACATGTACAAATATATAAGCTAGGACCACGTCAAAGCCATAAAGCATACGGCGTCTACTTAAAGAGACAAAACCAATATCACAACTCCTTGACATCTCAAAAACGTAACAAGGATTGTGGCATAACCGACAACCACCGAGGTTTAAAACTGGTAACCAATAGCCTACGCCTCTACCTCTAATTTGTTGTGAGTTCAGGGGAAATCGGATAGATGCTTAAAAGAGTAGAAAATAAATAATTGAGACGAATACATTTTTGTGTGTATAATTTTTTATCGTTAAACCAAA